TACAAAAGTCTTTATAAACCTCTTCTCTAGTCTAATTAAACCTGAATTTCTTCAAGTGCCAACATTCAAGATTAATAAAAAACTACGTTAGCATATCTAGCCTGTAGAAGAGAAGACTTACTGAGAGGAATAATAACTTCCTCCAAGTATTTGAAAGGATGTTATAGAGAAGAGGCCTTCTGGTTTATTGGACAGAGGGCCTGCCTTAGTCAGAGAGACCTGGGTTCATGTCCAGCCTCTGATAGACACACATTACGGGTGTGACCATGGGCAAGTTACTTTATCTCTCACTATAAAACACATCTTCACAAGACTCTAAACTGTGGACAGGCTTCAGTAGTTAGAGGGAATTTCTGTACTTAGAGTTCAGACAAAAATAAACAAAAAATGTGGATAGGGGATTAGATTTATTCTACGTGGTCTCAGGAGACAGAACCAGAATCAACAAATGGAAGTTGCCAAGAGGCAGGTTTCAATTCAATAGAAGGAAAAACTTCCTAATAACTCAAGTCAGTCAGTCAATAAACATATTTAGCATGTGCTATGTGCCAGGCAGCTAGGTGGCACAATGGATAGAGCACTGAGCTTGGAATCAGGAAGACTCATCTTCATGAGTTCAGATCCAATCCCTCAGACACTTACTAGCTGTGTGACCCTGGGCGAGTCACTTAACTCTCTTTGCCTCAGTTCCTCATCTGTAAATGAACTAGAGAAGGAAATGGCAAACCACTCCAGTATCTTTGCCAATAAAAACCCCAAATGGGGTCATGAAGAGTTGGATGTGACTGAAATGACACAACAGTAACAATAATGTGCCAGGCATTATGTTAAGCCCTGGGAATCCAAAGAAAGGCAGATGACAGTTTCAAAGCTATCCAGAAGTGAAATGGGATACTTCATAAGGAAGAGTCTCTTGTCATTTGAGTTCTTCAAGTATAAGCTAGATGACGATTTGGGGGACTGGAGTGGGTAGGGGGGGACATTGTAGAGAGAATTCTTGTTCAGATAGACGTGTGACTCCAACACCTCTGAAGTCCTTTCCAGCTTGGAGATTCTGTGATTAATATGGAAAAAGAACTAGATTATATAATGTTATTGTTCTTCTGTTTTGATTAATTATGGCACTAGTATTTCTATAATATCAATTTCTGCTGTTTTTCATTGCAAATATGTAATGCTTCAACCGCATTGTGGGCTAAATAGGCTTCTGTGGCCTGACCTGAAAACCTAGCCATTTATAACATTGTTGGTGTGGGAAAATGAGAATTCTTAGTTCCAAACAACTGACGCACAAACAAACTTTTGGAAGAAAACAATCTATATATTGGAGATGCCAGTATGTACCTCAGTGGCAATGGCCAACTTACTCTTATTAAAGCAAAAATGATGTATTCACTAAGCACATCAGTAACGTTACTAAGATTCCAGTTCACTTCTAAGAGCCAGTTCACTAAGCACCTATGAAACATCTGTGGTTGTAGTGAGGAACCGGAGAAAAGCAAAAGAAAAAAAAATTGGAAAGTAGGATAAGGAAGGAAAAAGTAAAGGATGAAAACCATTAATAAAAGTTTAGAAGAAAGATAGCTACAGTGACATGAATAGACAATGGAATGGATAAAGAAAGAGGGCAAGGGGAGGGCAGGAAACCAGACTAAAGGTTTAAAGCATGTGACTTAGGAAAAAAAAAACACTTTTTATAAATGAAGACCTCAGAGAAAGTACAGCAAGAATCTTATGGAATATTATTATGCTATAAGGAATGAAAAAGATGAAGAATTTTAAGAAATATAGAAAGGTTTGGAGAAATGATGCAGAGTGAGGAAAGTAGAATCCAAAGAACGATACGATGTAAAGATGGAGGCCAGATCTATGATTTCATCGATATAGGGAACTGCCAGGGGAGTAAACTCCCTCTCCCAATACTGGTTGATACCTTCTCTGCTACTTAGAGTCATACCTAGAACAAAGGGGTCAAACAAGTGCCTCCATACTAGATTAAAATATAAATGGGAACTATTTAACAAAATAAATAAAAATACATTTGCTGTTGTTCGGTTGTGTCTGACTTTTTGTGATCTCGTTTTGGGGTTTTCTTACCAAAGATACTGGAGTAGTTTGCCATTTCTTTCTCCAGCTGATTTTATAGATGAGGAACTGAGGCAAAGAGAGTTAAATGACTTGCCCAGGATCACACAGCTAGTAAGTATCTGAGACTGGATTTGAACTCATAAAAATGAGTCTTCCTGAGTCCAAGCCCGGTGCTTGATCCACTGTGCCACCTAGCTACCCTAAGGTACAGTAGAACATAAATAAAGCTAATAAGTGCTTTTCTAAGTTAATATGCAGCCTGTAGGGATCATCATGTATAGTTCAGTGGCCCCATTTTTATTTGGGTTGAATACCACTGGCCTAGATCACTGATTGATTAAGTAACTCACCCAGGGTCACATGGTCAGTACGGCTTAGAGGTAAAATTTGAACTCGGGTCTTCCTTTGCTTTGAAACCAGTTTTCTATCCACTGTGTCCTGCTGCCTGTCTTGAGGAAAATTTTAAAAAAAAGACAGAACTTTAGGCTGGTCCCCACCGCCACTGTCTGTTCTTTGTATTCTATGACTTTAAGAGGGAGCATGATATAGTAGAATTAGGTCTAGATTTGCAGTCAAACTACAGGAGTTCAAGTCTCTCAGCTTCCATTTAATAGCTGAGTGGCCATGAGAAGTTAGTTAACTTCTTTGTGCTTTACTCTCTTCATCTCTAAAATGGGTTTACTCATATTTGCCTCATCTACCTCATAGGGATCAAGGGAGGTAATAGTTATAGAGTAGGAAACACAAATAAGACACCCTCTTTAAGGACTTCTTCAGCCAAAATGGGGAAACTTCCCAGTTAAAAGGGTAGATACAATGACAGGAGCATCAAAGATGATTTTCCATTCTTCAAAATGTATTAGCAAAGAAGGAAAGGAAAAGAATAAAAAACAAGGAAGGGAGAAAATAAAGATTTTGAGTGAGAGAGAAAGAGAGAGAGAGAGAGAGAGAGAGAGAGAGAGAGAGAGACTAGGTCTGACTCAGTGTGAATCAGTTTTTACTTGCCATATATAACTATTTCTAAAGATTTAATATTAATGATTATGATGATGACAGCTAATATTTGTATAGTGCTTATTATATACTAGTCACTGTGCTAAATGCTTTACAATTATCATTTCATTTGATTTTCACTATAACCTTGGAAGACAGGTGCCATTATCATCTCCATTTTATTGAAGAAACTGAGGCAAAAGAACTGAAGTGACTTGCCCAATTTCATACAGCTAGAAAATGTCTGAGGTCAGACATGAGCTCAGGTCTTCCTATCTATAGGCCCAATACTCTATTCATTAGCTTACCTATCTGCCCCAATATATGAAAACCATGACTTCTGTGACTTTTACCATGGCTCTTTTTTTTTTAAGAAGAAAAAAAAGCCTTTACTTCTGTATCATTGAAATAAAGATAATTTATATTGCATTTTAAGATTTATGAGGTATTTTACATAAATCATCTCATTTGATATTCATGACATTCCTCTGAAGTTCCATAGATAGCTCCACTTACAGATAAGAAAACTAAGGCTCAAGGAAGCCCTTGAGTCCTCCTTGTTGCATTGCGAACAGTGATTTTGTGTAATAATTTTTCTTAGAACATAAGTAGTTTTGTTGTACTTGCCTGAAAATTTGATGTTGTGAACCTATCCCTGTATATGATGGTTTTAGTATGCACAGTGTCTTTGTTTTGCCTGAAGGTTGTGACATAGAATCTTGCTTTCCAGTACTGAAAAGTTAAGAGACATAGTGATTGAAAGAGAAACTCTAATCTAGAAGTGGTGTTCTGCTACAATGACATATAGCAGTTGTCTCCACTGCCAGAGACTTTTGAAAGAAAAATCTTAGATTCATTACTTCTGACAATTACTGTCAAACCTTCCTGCTTTGCTCCTCAACTGATTTCTTGTGGAGTATAGTATAGTTTATCTCAATTTGCTCACACTTCTCTAGTATTCTGTACTCAAAATTTGCTCTCCACCCTTTGTCTTCCCTATCACACTCTTATATCTACCCACCCATTTTGTTTAATGTATTACTGCTAAGTTCCCCTGCACAGGTCCCCTTCTCAGTCTATCCAAATTCTGTAACCCAAAACTGGGGAATAGGCAGCAGAACTGCCAGTTGGCGCCTCTTTCCTTAACCTTCAAGAGGGAAAGGTGACCCTGGATGCATCTGTGATGTCCTCTTCAAGTGCACAGCCTTTGCTCTTGCCTTGGGACATAGCTTCTCCTTGTGCTGGAGTGCTCCACACAGCTAGCACCTGGCTAGACCCCTTCTCTGTTGTCCCCAGCTCTTTCTTTCTATCTCCCTATATCTCCCTATACTGACCTGGGCTGGAACATGACTCATTGTGGCTTTTTCTTGGATTTCCCCGTCAGAATTTAGTCTTGTGTGTTTTCCAGATCTGTTCAGAGGAGTTTTAGTAGGTAGTTTGCTACTTCTTCCTGCTCCTCTGCCATCTTGGCTCCATGTCTTTCCTCTTATTATTTTATTCTTACTTGTAGCCCCAGCGTATAGCACAGTTCTCATACATAGGAGGTATCTAATACGATGTTTGATGATGATACTACTCTCTTTTCTAACCTCTGTTAAATTAACTCTAGTGCCACCTCCTTCAGGAGGCCTTTCATGGTTTTCATCTGAGCTACTAGTGGCATCCCCTCCTTCATCCACTAGGTTTATGTTATCTTGTATGTGTAGCAGATATTTTGTCTCACCCATTACAGTATAATCTCCTTTAAGGAGGGAACTTTTTGCTTTTTCTTTGTATCCTTAGCACTTTACTATGTGCATGGAACATAGTAAGTACTTAATAAATACTTGTCAATTGATTGTAATGACTGCTAGGGAAATATTACATGGATCTATAAGCTCTTAGATTATCATCCTTAAAAAGTTTTTATTTTGTTGAAGCTGGTGCTCGAAATAATATTGGATGGGCCTTTGGTCTGGGATTGGAGAGGCTGGCCATGATCCTGTATAATATCCCTGACATTCGCATATTTTGGAGTGAAGATGAGAGATTCCTGAAACAATTTCATGTGCCTAATATCAACCAGGATGTACAATTTCAGGTAAGAACATTTGCAAGAATTATTTAAGCATGTATTTTATTATCAGTTTAGCACAATGCTTAGCACAGGGCCTGACACTTAGTATGCACTTAATAAATGTTTATTAATCATTTTATTAATGAGAATGAAAAGACCAAGAACTTGAAAAGAAATAAACTTTAGCAATAAACAATGAGTATTTGATAGAAGAGTATTTGCTTTTCTAGTTGTGATTAGACAACAGTCTTCACTGATAAGGTAATAGAATTAGTAATGCACTGACAAGGTGTTGTGGAACCTTTGATGATCCTCTGGAGAGATTGATGGTTCTGTGGTAATAAAAATAACTCATATTTATATAGATCTTAAAGATTTGAAAAGTGCTTTCCTCAGAATAACTCTGTGAGATATATGGTGTATTGTTGTTGCCCTGTTACAGAAAAGGAAAACAAGAATCTGAGAGGTTAATTGATGTGCTTATGATTCCTTAGGTAGTAAGAGTCAGAAGTGGGAATGGAACTGACTTTGGACCGTCCAAAGTCTATTCTTTGTGCTGTGCACTATACCAAGCAACAGATTGTTGATCGTTAATATCCCAGTCCAAAAGACTTAGTCATATAGAGACTTAAATGTTAATTTATACAAAAATGACTGTCACTCTTTGTTCTAGCATTAGGCTCTTGAACTCAATTTTAAATTAAAACACATACATACACACAGTAAACATACTAAGATAACTGAATGTTTTAAACCTGACTGTGTATCACAGTGGACTGGCATTGGACTTGTAGCTAGGACAACCTGGATTCAAATTCTACTTTCAGTGTTTACTAGTTGTGTGATATAGATGGGTAGGTCACTTAACCTTTCTTTGCCTCAGTTTCCTCATCTATAGAATGATGGTACTGAATTAAATGGCCTTCAAGACTCCTTCTAGTTCTAAATCTGTGATCCAAGATCCTACTATCTTATGATTCACTTCACCAGATTTCAACATATGACACCACTATTACCTTGGTGATCTCAAAAATAGTTAGAAATAGTATAAATCCCTTGTTTCAGGCACCAACATTCTTTGCTGTATTCTGTTCCATCCTTTATAGAATTAAGAGATACCATATTCCCACTTGTATTCTTACTAGGTAGTTATTTTTATGTGATCTCAAATTTATTAATTTGTTAGGCACAGTTACCAGTGGTACAGCCGAAATCCTGAACATTTAAGAAATGCATGCACATAAAAATAATTTCTAAACCACAAATCCTAGAGAAATATTCCCTTATTTATTTTTTGAGTTTCCACAGTGTACCATGTGTCTCGCTTCTTATGTGTTTATATTGTTGCAAATTATCTGTTATTGGTTAAATGATTCTCTTCATGTGTAAGGAAACAACTGTTCATGGCTAAGAATGAAGAGTAGTCAAAGTTTGTGTATTGTTTTCTCATGCCATTCTTGTGGAAAAGATGGAAAGATGTGGATGAGACAGCAGTACCATTTGGTGGATTTGTAACTGGCTGAATAGCAGAACCAGAAGAGGCTTTAATGGGTCGGCGTCATACTACAAGGTTACAAGGAAGTGTCCCAGGAATCCCTGCTTGGCCTTATGTTCTTTTATATTTTCATCAATGACTTGCATAAATATAACATGAAAATACTATTGGATGACAGTCAAGATGTAAAAAATATCTTGACAAACTAGAACATCTAATAAGATGGATTTTAACAGATATAACATGAATTTGGATTAATAAAAAAAATCTAGTTCACAAGAATAAGTTGGCAGAAAGGTGACTAGACTCATCTGAAAAAGTCATGGGGGAAGAGAAGTCAGGGATCTGCAAGCTGAGTATGATTGCACTAGTGCTGTCCTTGGTTGAGTGTGCAGGACAAGCTTGATGATAATCCTGTTGTACCTTTCCTTGGTCCAGTGCTTCTTAAACTGTGGGGCATGACAGGGTCACAACCCACAGTTTAAGAAGCACTGAAGGGGTGTCTAATGGAAAAAAGTTTAAGAAGCCCTGTATTAGACCACATCCAGACTGATGTCTTAATTTCTAGTGTCGACATGGAAGTTTAGTTAAAAGAGGTAAAGAAGCTAGGAGATATATATTTATATTATTTATTCCCTTAAGTTAGCAGAATACATGTAATGTATGGGAGCCAGAAGATAATTCTGACTTGGAGATAAGCAAGTTGAGGAAGACCTTTTATATTGTTAGAGCAATCCTGCCTTAGGATGTCTGTGTCACTTAAAATTAAAGTCTCCATATGTGTTTAATCATAGTATGAGAAAGGAATTTTCTTAATTGGATAGGTTGTAAATACAATAAGATAAGTGCCAAAGTGTCTGTTGAAATTATAGACCCAGGATATCTGTGTTTCCCCTACCTAGCATATATCAATAAAATACCACAATAAGAAAAGTCCCACTATTCAAGACAGTGTTCAGTCCCAAGCACCCTGTCCTTAGTGGTCACAAGCAGCAGAATGCGACTAGTCAGCCTTATCAGGCCCTGTAGTTGACACACGAAGGGACGTTTTGAGTTCATTCAGAGAGCGAAGCAAAGCATGTCTGTTATGCCAGAGCACATAAAGCATTATGGTAGGTTAAGCTCAGAGTGGGCTACAATGTCTCTCCTGATTGGCCAATCCAGGTTTCAGGCCTTTCTCAGATTTTGGGGGCTCAAAAATGGTTTGGGGAAGGGTCTATACTAGATACCACACTTCATTGTGGATATCAATAAACTGGAAAAGGTCCCAGCTGAGGCAACTGGGATAGTAAAGGCTTTGAGTTCATGCCATATGAGGATGACTGAAGGAACTGGTAGTGTTTGAATAGGAAAGGAGAATTAGCAGGGCACATGATTACTGCCTTCAATTATCTGAAGGGCTGTTAAATACAAGTGTATACAGACTTCTTCTGCCTTATGGTAGTGAATAGAACTAGGAGGAATGGGTAGAAGTTCCAAAGAAGCAAATTTGTGGAGGTAAGGAAAAACAAAGGGCAGCCAGGTGGTGCAGTGGATAGAGTGCCAGGCCTGGAATCAGAAAGACTCATTTTCCTGAATTCAAATCTGGCCTCAGACATTTCCTAGCTGTGTGACACTGGGCAGGTCATTCAACCCTGTTGCCTTAGTTCCTCATCTGTAAAATGAGCTGGAAAATAAATGGCAAACCACTCCAGTATCTTTGCCAAGAAAGATAAAAACAAAAACAAATGGGGTCAGTAAGAGTTGGATGCAACTAAAAAACAACTAAACTGAAAGGAAAAGAATCATAATTAAGTAGCTCTTTCCCAAAGTGTTACCCAGAAGTAACGGATCTTCAGTGCAGGATGTCAAACAAAGACTGAATGGTAACTTGTCAGATGTGATACAGTTATTCTCTTCAGGAATGGATTAGACCGCATGGCATGTGAGGTTTCTTCCAAGATTCTGTGCTTGTGTGTGAAGTATGCTTTTATAATAATGGTTCATGATAACATTTCTAGGAAAAGTGGGAATAAGAAACTTTCCCCCTCTGTGATATACAGTCTATGCACAGATTAAGTGAAGTTTCACCTCCTTCAATCTAGGTTACCTAGTGCTGAAGTGATTTAGGGAAAGTGTCTGGTTGGGAGAACAGTATAATGACATTATGATTAAAATTCAGACATCCCACCAAAGAGTTTTTGTTGTTGTTGTTGTTGTTTAAAAAACAAATTGGGAGATAGCGACAAGGACAGGTGGCAGCAGGAGGGTCATTGGTTATGTCCTTATTCTGAATGCCTTGGAGAGAGAGCCCTACCTTGGCCATTTAGGCAACAGCTAGAGCAGGGGTGGGGAACCTGTGGCCACCATGTGGCCCTCTAGGTCCTCAAGTGTGGCTGTGTATGATCTGTAGGCTGCAGGTTCCCCACCCCAGAGCTAGCAGTTCCCTTTTTCACGTGCCTTCAGCACATCCTCTGTTGAGCCTAAGAGCCTCCTAGCTTCAACTACATCCTCAACTATTGCTTTTTGCTACCCTCATGATTACTGTTGCTACTGTGAGTCCCACTTTAAGCACATCTATCAACCAGTGGACCATGTGTAGGCACTCTGTTCCCCTTTTCTTCTTCTAGACACCAGAGACTGACCTGTTGCCCTGAGGTCAAGGCACTGATACACTTGCCTTCCAATTCAAATCACCAAAAGCTTGTTTAAACACTTAGCATATGCAAGGTACTGTGCTTGGCCCTGTGGATATACAAACGTGAAAAACTAATGTAGTCCCTCTCAAGGAGTTTACTATCTAATCAAGGAGATTTTTCATATTCATATTCATGGTTGAAGTATCATACTAAGTAGAGTTATGTTTGTGGCAAAGGAGAGATACAGGTAAAAGAGATTTAAAGGAACTTGAATGGGATCAAGAACAATTTCAACTAATGCCATTAAGGAAGCCTTTGCACCTAAACTGAAGCTTAAAGAAAATTTTAACAGTTAGAGTAGAAGAAAGAAAATGTTTCCTAAAGATGACTACACCAACTACTTCCCTGCAGAAATTGTTGAGATTTAGAAGTTTAGGGGTGCTGGGACGCCAAAATCACGATACTTGAGTCCGGCCTGAATAAATTCGACCCAAACCTTCTTTCAGCCAAAGACAAGGTTTATTAAAGATCTGCCATATAGGCCAGACTCTTAAGGAATCTGAACATTTGTGAGCTATTGGCTAAATTATAAGAAACTGAGAACCTTAATGGATTACAGAGGGACCATATCTACAGAAAAACTGTGGGAGGGTTCTAGGGAGGATTCTTGACTGGGAGGTCAAGAATGGGGTCTAGATAGGGTAGGAAGTTGCCAGGGGCTATCTGGAGGTAATAGACAATGGAGGGCTGGGCTCAATTAAGGGTAACCAAGAATTGGGAGATTGGGTGGAGGCAATAAAGAAAGGCAAATTGATAGGATTATAGCCTCCAACAACTGCCTGAGATTTGGCCATCTGGGAAAGTCCAAGGCTTTTCCTCTTTGGGGTCCAGATCCCAACCTCATCAAAACC